TATATATATATATATAGACAATATATATGTATATATATATGTATGTATATATGTATATATGTATATATATATGCTTACATCTATCATGATAGTATCTCATAAATAATATCTCCATAGCAACGCTGTAATAACTCATGGTCAACCAGTGTCCCAGTGGCAGCAGTCAAAAGCAGGTTAGAGGCACAACTTCACAGCCAGTGGTAACCAACAAAAGCATTTACCCCTTCTTGCTTTTGCAGCACACAGCAGGAATGACTGCGAATCTTTTGCTTTGTTTTGTCTTGTTTTTTATTGTGAGAAAGAGGCAACAGCAGTGCAGGGCTTTACGGTATTATGGCAACTGTCAGAAATGAATGATGCAAGACTGACTTTCATGACAGCCTTTCCACAAAGACTGCAGTGCTGCAAAGCTGGTTATAGCTACTACTACAGATCAGTATTAACAAAAATGTAGCCACACTACAGACCAGGAAATATTGGACCTTTTAGGATTGAAAGATAAGGGCTGCAGTTACACAAGAGACCACTGACTTTGCATTTTATTGGCACTGCTTTGTGTACAAATAGACTTTTAATTTGTCTAACAAAACTCGTGATGATGACATGATGTGTTGTATTATCATCATTTTCCCCATTTAAGATCCTCTTCAAATGAGAACAAACACAAACTATTCATAAATGCACGTGCAGAATGTAGCTGAACATTGTTCAAGTCACTCTGAGATTACTGACGACTAATAATTAGTGAGTACAGAGTGAGTATGCTTTCTGCATATCACCATCTCCTGCTCCTGGTCTTTTATAACTCCCTGTTAACATAACAGTACCCATTTCAAGCGAGCCAATTTCTTCTGAGAAACATGATCAGCTGTTTCCCCCCCACATGCAAAGCAATTTGAAAGAAAAATTGGCTTCAGTCCCAGCGGAGAGTGTGTTATAAATCTTGACATGCTGATTTGTAACCTCACTTTGTCCTCCAAAAAGGAAAGAGAGAGAGAGAGAGAGAGAGAGAGAGAGAGAGGATCTTCCAAGGACTGAGTGAGAAGGTGAATTTCTCTGACATTCACAGTTCCCACAAGAATATTTAGGAAAGTTCAGGGAACACAACCACATGGGGGTATCTGCACACCTCTGTGTCTCTATTTTCATTGTTAATTAGTTCTTCAATTATTGAATGTTACAAGTTACACAATTTAATGCCTTCAATGAGAGTAAAGGAGGCAGCATGTGTATAAATTATGAGATGTACATGAAGTACTTTTATGTTTTATAGTGAAAGAGCTCGAGTTTTTTCTCTCCTGACAGTTTTTCCATTTAATCCGATATGACTTGGATGCAGATTTTGTTGATCCTTCAGAGAGTGTTAGAATAAATGTGCGATGGGGAGTTATACGATATACAGTCTGGCGTTCTCATAAAGCATATTTTTC